AGTCATGGAGCCTGTCCCAGCCTGCACATCGACCCAGAGTGGAGGCGGGCAAGGGGGCGGCATGGTGTGGCGGGCGGACGACCAGCGATGGCGGAAGACATCTCCTCGTTCCGGGAGCAGCCCCGTCGTGTGCTACAGCTGTTATCGTTTTCAGCCGTAGGTTTGATGAACATCTGGAACGGCTACACGCTGTCTTTCTCAAAATGTGTGCGGCCAACATGAAATTTAAACCGCAGAAATGTCACTTCCTCCAGAAATCGGTTCGGTATCTTGGCCACATAGTAAGTGAATCGGGTATTGCGACTGACCCGGACAAGACCACGTGTGTTCGAACTTGGCCGACAGTTTTATAGGATTCGTGTCCTATTACAGCCGTTTTTTCCCCGAGTTTGCTCCCATCGCTAAGCTCTCCACGCCTTGACGGCTAAGGGTTATAAATTCCATTGGGGGGAGGAGGAGGCCGCATTTGTTGCGCTCCGGGATGGCTTGGTGAACGCCCCTCCCCTCCGCTACCCCAATTTTTTGTTGCCATTTGTCCTTGATACGGACGCTAGTAACACCGGAATTGGAGCTGTTTTGTCCCAAGTTGTCAATGGCGTCGAGAGCATTGTCGCATATGGCAGCAGGGTGCTGTCTCTGGCTGAACAACGGTATTGTGTCACACGCCGGGAACTGTTGGCCATTGTGGTTTTTGTGCAACAGCATCATCCCTATTTGTATGGTAGACACTTTGAAGTACGCTCTGACCATGCAGCGCTACAGTACACGTTGCGTGTTGACCAGCCGTCTGGCCAACTTTCACGCTGGTTGGAGGTACTCCAGGATTACCCATTAAAGGTTACCTATCGCAAGGGCTCCCGTCACACAAATGCTGACGCCCTGTCGCAATTACCAACGAGCGGCGGGTGTGCCTGCTTTTCGGGCTCCGGGCGCTGTACGCCGTTCGCCGAGCCCTCGTCCCCTCCCCTCGTGGCATCGACTGATGTGGTAACATCTGAGTTGGCCAAGGGTCCGGCGGCGCGTGACGCTGTCTTTTGGTTGGACCACGCAGAATGGGGGCGCCTCTAGGTGGAAGACGCTTTCCTGCTTAAATTGCGACGCCATGTCAGAGAGCCTGAGGGGGGCGAGGATCAACGGAGTATCACTTCTGTCATTCTTAGAGGCGGATTGCTCATGCATTGGGACGGAGGGTTGCACCAATACAACATTGTTGTGCCCACTGCCCTGCGTGGCAAGGTCATTTGGGCGGTACACGCGCTTGTTGCACCTAGGTGTGCATAAGACGCTGGCCACACTTAAGTTGGACTTCTTCTGGCCTGGCATGGCTGAGGATGTCGCTAATTTGTTGAAAGGGTGTGTGCGTTTCACCTTTCAAAAGCTTTCCAATGCGCGGGAAGCCTATAGGGTAAATTCTGATTTGCGCCAATTGACCAATGAGTGACTGAGGGGTTCTCGTGTTTCTACACATGAGTGGGCGCCTGGGGACAAAGCCTGGTTGCACTGTCCACAGGTACCAGTGGGTACGTCACCTTGAAGAGGGCCGGTTGATGTGATTCGGGTCGTTCGACCACAGTGTGTCCAGATCCGCTTAGGGCGGCGGAGTTGGTTTGTGCATACCTCACGCCTAAAGCCTTTCATTGCGCCGGGCGAGTTCGTTCCATCTCCACACCGCAGGGGCCGAGAGTCAGATGTGTTCGGCGAGCCAGGGTGTGTGGCTGCTGAAGGTGGTCCTCAGCGGAGTCATGTGATCCCGTCCCCAGGTGCCACGCGCCTGACGTCCCGAACACCTACGGGAAGGGTCGAGAAACGACAAGAGGTTTCTCAAAGTTGGTCGTGGCCAAGGGCGGGGCCAGCCACGACCCGGGAGCATATAAACCGGTTCCGCACAGGGACCGAGGTTCAGCGTTGCTATCGTCATCTGAAGATCTACAATCTACGTCCAAGAAGAAGTCACCAACACGTGGACGAGGACCCAAGCAAGGGTCCTGTCCGTTGTAGCTACTCCCAGTAACTAGCGTAGTTAGCCTGGTGGTCCACCACCATAGGTGATCTGGTAAAGGGGCAGTAACCCTTTGTGTTAATGTGTTGGTGTGAATAAAATGTGTCGCCTCCAAGAAGTAGTCTGCGACTCAGTTGAATACACTACATATTGGTATATATTGTAATCAATGGCGGAGCCAGGATTTTCAGGTAGGGGGGGCAACCCCTCCAGCAATAAAAAATGATAGTTGTTCGTAAGGACTTGTCCTTTGCTTTTTATTCGACGCGTGTGCGGCGATGGCGCAGCCATCGATCGAGGGTCGAATTCGAAACGTGTGTGATCGGCATCGCGCTCGCTATGCCTTCAGGGAAGTCGTGTACTGTACGGTGAGGGAAAAAAGTATTTGATCCCCATTGATCCCCAAGTATTTGATCCCCAAGTATTTGATCCCCATTGACAAAGAAATGATCAGTCTATCATTTTAATGGTAGGTTTATTTGAACAGTGAGAGACAGAATAACAACAAAAAAATCCAGAAAAACGCACATCAAAAATGTAATAAATTGATTTGCATTTTAATGAGGGAAATAAGTATTTGACCCCCTCTCAATCAGAAAGATTTCTTGCTCCGAGGTGTCTTTTATACAGGTAACAAGCTGAGATTAGGAGCACACTCTTAAAGGGAGTGCTCCTAATCTCAGCTTGTTACCTGTATAAAAGACACCTGTCCACAGAAGCAATCAATCAATCAGATTCCAAACTCTCCACCAAGTCAAGACCAAAGAGCTCTCCAAGGATGTCAGGGACAAGATTGTAGACCTACACAAGGCTGGAATGGGCTACAAGACCATTGCCAAGCAGCTTGGTGAGAGGGTGACAACAGTTGGTGCGATTATTCGCAAATGGAAGAAACACAAATAAACTGTCAATCTCCCTCGGCCTGGGGCTCCCTGCAAGGTCTCACCTCGTGGAGTTGCAATGATCATGAGAACGGTGAGGAATCAGCCCATGACCCCAAGAACACCATCCCCACCGTCAAACATGGAGGTTGAAACATTATGCTTTGGGGGTGTTTTTCTGCTAAGGGGACAGGAAAACTTCGCCGCATCAAAGAGATGATGGACGGGGCTATGTACCGTCAAATCTAGGGTGAGAACCTCCTTCCCTCAACCAGGGCATTGAAAATGGGTCGTGGATGGGTATTCCAGCATGACAATGACCCAAAACACACGGCCAAGGTAACAAATGAGTGGCTCAAGAAGAAGCACATTAAGGTCCTGGAGTGGCCTAGCCAGTCTCCAGACCTTAATCCCATAGAACATCTGTGGAGGGAGCTGAAGGTTCGAGTTGCCAAACGTCAGCCTCGAAACCTTAATGACTTGGAGAAGATCTGCAAAGAGGAGTGGGACAAAATTCCTCCTGAGATGTCTGCAAACCTGGTGGCCAACTACAAGAAACGTCTGACCTCTGTGATTGCCAACAATGGTTGTGCCACCAAGTACTAAGTCATGTTTTGCAGAGGGGTCAAATACTTATTTCTCTCATTGAAATGCAAATCAATTTATAACATTTTTGACATGCGTTTGTCTTTATTTTTTGTTATCATTCTGTCTCTCACGGTTCAAATAAACCTACCATTAAAATTCAAGACTGATCATTTCTTTGTCAGTGGGCAAACGTACAAAATCAGCAGGGGATCAAATACTTTTTTCCCTCACTGTATACGCAACTGCGCACAATTCTGAGTCACTTATAACTGCTTTTTCGTTACTCATTGCCAATTATGGGCTCAGATTATTGTCCTATCATCTCATAGTCCCTGGCACATAATAATGCTACACAGTGGCAGTGGGGGTCGCAAAATATCGATGTATTACTAATAAACCCCAATGATCCGATCGATTCCATCGGATCATTGGGGGGGCACGTGCCACCCCTCCCCCCCCACTGGCTCCGCCAGTGATTGTAATAGATTATATATTGGTATACATTATAATAGATTATATATTGGTATACATTATAATAGATTATGTATTTGTATACATTATAATAGATTCTATATTGGCATACATTATACTAGATTATATATTGGTATACATTATACTACATTAAATATTGGTATACATTATAATGTATTAAATATTGGTATACATTATATGAGAATATGTTAATACCAAAGTACAGCACCTGTATGAATAAATGGCATGCAGGTGAGTCCCAGTGAATAGATCGCGAGATCACTAATTTTGCCGTTTAAATAAACTGCGCTGCGTGAACTCGGCGACCCGAGTTCGATTCCCGCTCACCGCCAACACCGGTGACAATGATTTGAACTGGTCCTGGGCCTCCGCCCCTAGGTCGACTCAGCCTCAAATGAGTACCTGGTGCAGTGTGTAAATATGGCCACTCGGGAGACAAAGGCGGCCAGGCCTGGTGCTGGCTACCCACCCCCTGGTGTTGCCGTTTAGGCCTTAATAGGTGCTGCTACTCGCGAACAGAAGTTTTGCCCCAACAGTTTGTTAAAGGCTATAATATCCCGCGCGCGCCAAGTTTGAGATGTAAGCATGTAGAGTGTCTTCTTTGGTTCTTTCGGTAAAGTCGCGTAGAATGAGAATAAAATAATATATTGATAAAATCAAATAACGCAATAAAATTCTCACGACGTCATCGTCTCCATGCACAATAAAATTATCACGACGTTTCGGCCACAACACAGGCGGCCTTCATCAGGTGAAGGGACGAGACTGTCTGGAGGACTGTCTGGAGGACAGTCTCGTCCCTTCACCTGATGAAGGCCGCTTGTGTTGTGGCCGAAACGTCGTGATAATTTTATTGTTATTTTATCAATATATTATTTTATTCTCATTCTACGTGACTTTACCGAAAGAACCAAAGAAGATGAATCCTTGCAGTCACGAAAGCTTTAAATCGAAATTCATGTAGAGTGTGTTTATGTTGAACCTCGTTCGCACCGTACGTAGCCAACCGTGCTAATCGGTGGTGCGGTGGGGGGGGAGAAGGTAATCTGCCGCGGTCTGGGAAACTCTGCAGGGGAGGGGAAGAGACGGAGAGATAGAGAACGCCTTCTGGAGAAAATGCAGTGCATAGGAGGGGCAGGAGGGGGAAGAGAGCGAGAGGTTCGGTCGAGAGAGTTAAGGGGAGAGTTGAGGAGAAGACTAGTTGTTGTTCTAGCGCTATTGCCATGGCGTTCCCGTCGTGTCGCCATCTGCTGCTGGGGTTCTTCGCTCTCTCTCTCGCCGTCATCGTCTCCATGCTCTACCAAGCGCCGGGCCTGGCGCGAACCGTTCCGTGGCGGCTGCTGGGCGCTTGCAGCACACCCACACAGGCGCCGCAACCGCCGCAGCAGCGGACCAACACCCTCATCCTGTCCAGCTGGCGCTCTGGCTCGTCTTTCCTGGGCCAGGTGTTTAACCAGCACCCCGAAGTGTTCTACCTGATGGAGCCCTTGAAGCACGTGTGGACCGCCGTGCCCACGAGCGGCGAGCGGGCGCTGCGGGGTGCCACGCGCGACCTCCTGCGCTCGCTGTGTGCCTGCGACGAGACGGCGCTGGAGTTTTACATCGCTCCACCTCGCCGACTCGGCTCTCTCTTCCTCTTCCACCACAGCGCGGCTCTCTGCCGGCTCCCTGCGTGCTCCGCCGCCACCGCGGCCAACGCGAGCGGCGCCCTCGGGTGCCAGCAGCGGTGCAGCGCCGCGCCCTTCGCGGGGATCGCCCGCGCGTGCGAGCGGAGCCGCCACGGGGTCGTCAAGAGCGTGCGGCTCTTCGACGCGCGCGCCCTGCGTCCCCTCGTGGCCGACCCCGGCGTGCGCCTCCGGATCATCCACCTGGTGCGGGACCCGCGCGCCGTCTTTGCGTCGCGCCGCAAGCTGTCGCGCCTCAGCCTCGAGGGCGACGACCGCGCGGTGCTGGGCCACGCCGACGCCGGCCGCCCGTCGCGCGACGTCGACGTGATGGAGGCGATCTGCCGGAGCAACGACGACGTTGCCGCCGCCGCCGCCGAGGGAGGTCGCCGGGAGGGGAGGACGCCGGGAGTCGACGGGGGGGGGCTAGGCGGCGCCTACATGGCGGTGCGCTACGAGGACCTGGTGAGCGAGCCCGCGAGGACGACGGGGGAGATGTTCCGCTTTGCCGGCATCGAGCTGCCCGACGCCGTGGCGGCCTGGGTCGAGCTCATGACGCACGGGCAGAGCGACGGCGCGGGAGAGTTCGACGTGGTGAGTTTGCAGTCGCCCGCCGTGGCGCGCAAGTGGCGCCGGAGCCTCCCTTTCGAGGAGGCGCGCGCCGTGCAGAGCGCATGCCGCGCGGCCATGCGGAGGTTCCGCTATCGCGAGTTCGCGAGCGAGGGCGAACTCCGCAACGCGAGTATCGACGCCTTCTACAGATAGACGGCGGTGGGGGGAGATGGGGGTGATGGAGGGTCATGGTGATAGGAGAGATGGAGAGTGATGGAGGGTGATGGTGATGGATGTGGCAGAGGGTGTGATGAAGCGATGGAGGTGATAGAGCGTGGACGTGATGGAGAGTGGTCGATGTGGTACATGGGCTGATGCGAGTGATGGAGAGTCAATGTGGCATTCATTATTGCTATCTGCGGCACTGATTCGATGCTATGCGTTCATGTCCTTAAGTGTCCTGAGATCAACAGGGGAGGTCACGGTCCAAGCACCCACTTCTCTCAATATGTATTTGGAAATGAGATGTGTGTGTGTTCGTGTGTGTTGTTTTAAGTAGCTCTCGTGTGTTGAGAGTCGCGGAGTTTCGTGGCTGCTGTGCCCCGCGTGTGACTGCTGCTCGCTTCGCTGCGCGGTCTCTTGAGACCTCCACACCACACCGCCTCTTCCTGCTCAGGCCATCAAGAACATCAACAACATTATCAGTGTAACACGCGGTAGTCGTGGTAGGCCTTTCGCGAGCAATGTTATCCATAGCATAGGGTTTTCTCGGGTTAAATCGCGTAAATATAAATGTGTCGGTAAACCCACCACCACCCGACACAGCCAATTAGTTAAGGGTTTTTCACGTAAACAAAACGTCCCAATTCGTGACTAGGTCAACAGAGCGGTTGTGTGTTGGAGAGTAAACCCACTACAACATTTACAATTCCAGTGATTACAGCAACCAGACTTATCAGGCGACCGCTAGAGTTGGCTATAAACAAATTGCTGTACTAGTGTAGTGACTAACTCAGAGACAGTAAGACTTGGAGGAACTTCTTTATTTAACGAGCAACATCGTGGGTGCACACTTACTGTTGCTAGCCTATACACAATACTGACTGTCTAGCACTGATGGCGCTGAACGGATACAGCCAACAACTATCTAGCAGTGAAATATCGAGTGAAGACGGCAGCGACGACGACAACGAGATGGTAACGACGAGCTTGAGGAGCACGACTGGGATCCCACTTCCAGCAACAGCCCCGAGGCCCCCCACAGGGGCCCCTCTTAGGGGGGGGCTTGGCCACGCCCCCCTTCTGGAACCTACCAGCGGGTTCCCGAGGCTTCCCGATGGGCCCCCCTCTGTGACCTTTTCCCTTTAGATGTCCCCCTCTCGTGTCTGTCGTGGCCTGCTGACGTGGGTACTGCCATACACCGCAGTTGCCCTTTTCCGTCAGCAGCCAGCGCTACGCCACTACACTTGTAATGAAATGGCACGTTTTGATTACGTGACAACCCTTACTAATTAGCTGTGTCGGGTGGTGGCGGGTTTAACGACACAATGATACATTTATACGATTTAACCCAAAAACCTCTTATGGATATCATCGTCAGATATTGTACGTGCATTGCTGGATGATATGATTGCTATAAGATGATGATGCTGATTGTGACACTTTATCATAATCGGCACGTTCCTCTCTTTGTCTCTCGATGTCATTCCAAGCGCGCATGCTCCGTCTACACGCTGCTGCTGCGCGCTAATCCCCACCCTTTGTTCCGTGCTGTTGTTGTTCCGTGTTGCTGCTGTTGCTGGTGTAGTTCCGTGTTGTTGCTATTGTGCTGTGTTTTTGCTATTGTTCCGTGTTGTTGTTCCGTGTTGCTGCTGTTGCTGGTGTAGTTCCGTGTTGTTGCTATTGTGCTGTGTTTTTGCTATTGTTCCGTGTTGTTGTTGTGCCGTGTTGTTTTTGTTGTTCTGTTGTTTTTGTTCCGTGTTGTTCCGGTTGTTCCTTGTTATTGCTGTTGTTCTGTGTTATTGCTGTTGTTCTGTGTTGTTCCGTGTTGTTGCTGTTGTTCCGTGTTATTGTTCCATGTTGTTGCTGTTGTTCCGTGTTATTGTTCCGTGTTGTGGCTGTTGTTCTGTGTTGTTTTTCCGTGTTGTTTGTGTTGGTCCGTGTTGTTGGTGTCCCGTGTTGCTGTTGTTCCATGTTGGTGTTCCGTGTTGTTATTGTTCCGTGATGTTGTTGTTCCGTGCTGTTGTTGTTCCGTGTTGTTATTGTTCCGTGTTATTGTTCCGTGATGTTGTTGTTCCGTGTTGTTCCGTGCTGTTGTTCCGTGCTGTTGTTGTGACCGTGTTGTTGTTTTTATGTGCTGTTGTTGGTGTTTTATCGTGTTCCGTGATGTTGCTGTTGTTCTGTGTTGTTCCGTGTTCTGTGTTTTTCTTGTTGCTCCGCGTCGTTGTTGTTCGCTATCCGCCACGTGCCTGCACCACGTCACAGCGGCTCGTGCACTCTTAGCAATAATAGTCTCACGAGACATAATCAGAGAATAAGCCTCCATACGGTACCTGTGTCTACACACATTTTTTTATTTTACACATCCCATCAGCCACGCGACCTCCTGAGAGTACCCCTTACCAGCAGAATTAGTTAAAGACGAGCAAACCTCGAGCACGGTTTCTAAAACTGAATTCAACGAAATACATATTTTACCAGGTAAGGATCCACTGAGCTACGTAGATCTTTTTCAGAAGCGACCTGCCCATCACAAATGATAGCTCAGTGAAGTGGGCTTATCATCATCATCACGTGGGAACTTATCGCAGCCAAATACTCTAAACCACGTGACATTGATTCTAAACGTGGAGGGGAAAATCGGAGGACCCGGAGAAAATCCACGCGACCACAGGGAGAGAGAGACACACCGAAAACTTCAAACATACAGCAGGCATCAGGTTGGGTTCGAAACCCACGACCTGTGTACCAGGCGAGGGAGTTAACATCTCCTTGCCACCGCGACCCCCTGCTGCTACTGCTGCTGCAGTGGTGCACCAGCCAGTCCAGTTAACAACACAAAACAAACTTAGCTCGTCCATCACGGTTAGGGGTTATGGTTAGGGGATACACAATACACGGCGACGTGGACAAGTGCACCATCTACACTACTGTATTACGGTACTTAGCAGACAATCTCTCATCCTCCTTCACTTACCTGTCTCGCAACAAACGATACAAAGTGCTTTACACATGTGAGCGACACAACCTTGTCAGTAGCATTGATTTAACACAAACCATACTCTGGAGAGATTTCCACGGTGGAGTTAGACTCACTCGAACTAATGGCATTGAACTGCCATATGTTATAGGTAAGGGTCCACTGTTAGATATGGATCCTAGTTGAACGCAAAAACTATATAGCGCGATAAAAAAGTCTGATCCTGCTGGTATTGGGGCGCCGTGGTGGCTAGGAGATGTTAACTACCTCGCATGGTATACAGGAGGCCGTGGGTTCGATCCCGACCCTGACGCCTGCTGCTCTGTATTTGGAGTTTCCGTGTGTGTGTGTCTCTCTCTCATCATCATCACGGTGGCTATGAGATGTTAACTACCTCGCATGGTACACAGGAGGCCGTGGGTTCGATCCCCACCCTGACGCCTGCTGCTGTATATTTGGAGTTTCCGTGTGTGTGTGTCTCTCTCTCATCATCATCACGGTGGCTATGAGATGTTAACTACCTCGCATGGTACACAGGAGGCCGTGGGTTCGATCCGGACCCTGACGCCTGCTGCTGTATATTTGGAGTTTCCGTGTGTGGTTATCATCATCACGGTGGCTATGAGATGTTAACTACCTCGCATGGTATACAGGAGGCCGTGGGTTCGATCCCGACCCTGATGCCTGCTGTTGTATATTTGGAGTTTCCGTGTCCCTCTCTCCCCGTGGTAGCGGGGATTTTACTCCAGGTCTCCTCCAGTTTTTCCCCTCCACATTTAAAATCGACGTCACGCGAGTATTTGGCTGCTGTACATTTCGACATGATTTCAGTTTTCAGTTTATTTATTTTGGTATAGCCCTGTGAGCCATTCGGCTCTTGAATCGGGTGCAACCACAACAAACAAAAAAACAAAAACACGAACAAGAAAAACAGCTTCAAGTGACTGTGTAACTGTGCAAACAGAAAATCCATGACAATAACAGCAAAATATTCCTGAAAAAAGCACCGTACACCAATGCTGTGTGCAAAATATCCCAGTGGGATGCAAGTCAAACAACAACAACAACAACAACCACAAGAAAACTTAGATTAAGGCCATCAGTCTAACTCCGTACTACAACAAAACAAACATGTCCAAACCAAAAAACGTTTTCGAAATCACCAAAAAATAAAGCCATTATTGCAACGTAACAGTGATCACAGGGACTGTGACCGAATTTTTACAATAAACTACATAAATAACATGTAACACCAAATCCTAGAGCCATAGCTGGCTGCATGAGTTACTCCACAACAACAGAAGTGTAGAGGTGTTAACTACGCGCTGTTGCGTAACCTGCGTTGCCACCAGGGCAGTGCAGCATTACCCCTGGGTACAACGGTTGGGGTCAGTCGAGGTGAAACGGATCGTGGCCAGGGTTTGGTGCGAACCAATCAGACGGTTCCACGTGGGAATGTATGATTGGTTCTACCTGGCCACGAAGGGGTATAAGACGGGTGACCCAACGGACCTCGAGGAGTTCTCTCCCTGCACGAAGACAAGACTGGGCTGAAGCCTAGCTAGGACCCTGGACCAGCCTTTCAGCCCTTGTAAGGGCTAAGGCTCGGCATACCCAGTGGTCAGGACCCACCGGGCCAGCGGTGGGTCAGATAGCCTCCCCTAGGTCCTAGCCGGAGGACTAGGATAGCGGTAGACGTGTGAGTCCCGCCAAGTCCGGAGGTTGTACCTCCTTAGGTATCAAGGAGGTTAGCGGTAGACGTGTGAGTCCCGCCAGGTACGGAGGCTGTACCTCCCTAGGGTATCGGGTGAGGGGACCGAATATCCCTCTGTGTGTGTTAAGCGTTGCATAAGGAAATAATACAATAAACAGAGTGTGCCTCCTAAAGAAGTCTGCTTGTCCTTACAAAACTACAGAAGCATCAGTCGGAGTATCAAATTTTTCAATGCACCTTTAAGATCAGCACGCTAAATCAAAATACAGATAATACTTTGCAGCGTCATCCGGAGCAAAA